TTTATTTATTTTGAAGCTCATACAGTACACGATAAATAGTTTCTGTATCAACCTACCTTATTTCCACGATATTTTTAGAAAAATAATATCCAAGTAATTTTCGCAGGCAAAATATTCAAAAAACAATAAACGCATTAATGCAAAAATCAGTTTTACTTCTTTTTTCGATTCCGCGATTGTAATGAAATCATATAATGAGAAAAAATAATAAAATCGTTTTATTTTTAATTAATAATTTTTCTTATTGTACTTAATTAATTAAGAAAATATTTAAAAAATACAGTATTTTTAAAGTTGAAATAAGATTAAACTAACGAAAACCAAAAGCAAAAAGCAAAGTGATGGAGAGATAGGAAGCGCTTGTATATTGATGACATAATACACGTAACTGAGGACCGAACGAAAAGAACCGAGTCAAATTAATTAAGTTGGAAAAAAGAAAGTGTGCGTTATAATCGAGGAAATGCGAGTATTGTATTAATCTTTAAAATATTGGTGTTAAATTTGCCTTATAATATCATGACGACTCCTGTAAATCGGGTTATCTGATAAGAATAAAATACAATACCAATATAGCCCTATCATTGAAAAAATTCGCTTATTTTTGCTCGCCTCGAGTCTTGCTTAGTAGAAATGTCTAAAAAGTGCGCAAAATACGTGCGGAAATACGGTATTACTGCACCACCTGTATTGGACGACCACTTGTCTAAAAGACCACTTTTTGAAGGAACCGTGGGTGGTCGCCATAGACAGGTTTTACTGTATATGAATCAGAATATTCACCACCCTTTGATATTGAAGAAATCTCTGCTACTCTTAAACAAATAAAAGCTGGAAGCCTCTGGAAATGATGGTGTCCATCCTGAATTCTTGTTACACAGTGGCAAGTACACTAAGTAATGGATGGCTCACTTCTTTACTGACATCCTACAGAAAGACAATGTTCCTTTAGCTATGAAACAAGCTAAAATCATAGTTATCTTGAAACCTGGAAAACCTAGTGTTAGACCAGAGAGTTATTGACCTATCTCATTCTTGAGTGATGTATAAGCTTTTAGAGAAGATTTGAAAGATTCTATATTATTATTATTAGAAATCAAAGATTCTATAGAGAGGTCTTTGAAAGATTTGATCACATCAAATATCTGTAAAAAATTCAGATTTTGGATGAGTAATTGAACACAAGTTCAAAAGTTGGAAAATTGGAAATTAATCTGAAGATGGGGTGAACAAGTCCCCCCAAAAAAATGTTTAATCTTGGTTATATTTGGTTAAAATTTTTACTCCTGAAATTTATTAACATTGTTTATGGTAATTTTAATATTTATGGAGTCAAAGCTGACGTCAAGAAACAAATTTTTATCTCAATGTATGGAATAGATTCTTGTTACTTTAAGGCTTAAAATCTTAAGTTTTTACTAGCCATACCTTCATTAAAGTGGATTTATTGTGAGGGAAATTAATGATTGATATTCCTATATTTATAAATTTCATCTTCATATTTGTACATCACATCAAATGCATAAACATGACAGACATTTTCATTTATTATTCATCTTGTTTCTGTAGTTAACTTTGGATAATAACTATTATGCTGACCATATGTCACCTTGTTTACACACTGCAAAGTGGCCTTTTACATTACATGAATAGACTTCATTCTTATAAAGAAATATATTATGCTTATGTAATACTTCATTATCCCATACTTGCTTTTCAGAGTGTCAATTTATTGACTTTAAAGATCTGTTTTAAAATTTTGAATGCAGCATGTTTTATTAATATATGGTATACTTTATGTATTTGCGTGCCACACACACTGCTTATTATAATCATGGATGTTGATATCAGTCATATTAACATTATCAGAAATAGCATATCCCAACAGATTTTTATATTTATATATTTAATTAAATGTAATACCATCAGTCATGTTTACATTTATTAATTTACTTCAAAATGTATTTTATGTGAAAATGGCGATAGCACCAGAGGACGTTTTTTTTACCATATTTGCATTTTATTGCGGAGGTAGTAGCCTGTAAAGAAAGGCCGCCTCCGTGTTTGTAAAATTGTGGACTGTCAACTGGAGCGAACGACGGATGAACAAACAGAAACAAAATATTGTTAAACGTTGCAATTTTACATTTATATATTTAATTAAATGTAATACCGTCGGCCATGTTTATATTTATTAATTTACTTCAAAATGATAAATAGACATAAATGAAAACAAAAAGATTATATATTATAAAGTAACTATTCACAAATCTGACCTCAAGGCATTACACTATGAGCCTTCTCCTTCCCTGTATATACAAATTGTTTTGCACGTGTATACCATCGTATTTCCATGTGCTATCCAACAGCTCCCCTTTGCGGCTCATGTCCTCCTTTTTCCACTTTCAAACCTCCAACCATCCCACCCTCCTAACTTTTCTTCAAATCACTCTCCTTTCTTCCTTCACCCATCTTTCTTATCTTTTAAGGCTACACCTTTGCATACAGCCTTTTCTTTTACATGTATGTATGTATGTATGTATGTATGTATGTATATAGAGATTGTTCCACATAGCCCATATTCTGAACAGTCCAAGAGAAAAATAATCTGAAAGAAATGGAAAGCCTAAAAGATGGGATAAAAAAACAAGTTTGGTTATGATTAACTTGTGGCAGAACTCTTAGGCACAGCCAATCAGAATGAATGGAACCATGGAAGTACAGTAGATCCCCCCTATAACACGGTAGATATGTTCCACGTTATACGAATTTCGCGTTATAGGAATCCTTAAATGCATGAACCAATCACAGCCTGGCACGTGTGCAGTTTAGGGACTACGGCTGTTTGAAAGGTTTTCTTCCATAAAATTAATCGATTCTTGACTAATTCGACTCAACATTTCCAAAACATGTATAATTTTTTGGGAATAATCCGTATAAAGTATGCTATAAACAAAAAATTGTAGGATTACTTACTGAGTGTGCACCGTTTGATGTCGCCATTGCTTAAGCTTGTTTTCATTGCGGAGCAGCGCACCAAATGGCGGCCGCGATTTCTGATAAGTTATTTTTCTGCAAAAAATTTGTTGAACTTTGGAGACATCATTAATAGAAATAAATTTTATGCCGTTGAATAAGAAATGTATAAAAGTACAGTGCTGTATTAGACTTACAATACCTAATTTACATACTGTACAGACAATAGTAAACTCAACTTATTTGCCTAAACTCTCCGTAGTGTGGCGCTGGACGGCAGAAAGTATATATATAATTATAATAAAGTTAAAATAAATTAAGTTAATATTGTACAGACGATAATAATACTCTACAGACGATAGTAAACTCAACTTACCTGTCTAAACTCTCCGTAATGTGTAAGTAGTTCGGCTGCTCGTCTACTATTGGTCCAGATTTGACCAATCCTGTCGCAACATGAGTCAGCGATGATGTTTTACGCGTACCTTTTAGCGTCTTTATACGAATACTGTCTCAATTTTTTTGCCATGTTATAGGGGGGGTCTACTGTATCTGTATAAAAGTAAATGGTCAAATTATTTGGTAAAATCAGTAAGACTGGGAATTTCCAATCTGGACCTAGAAACATTAGCATTAGGGGTAAAAGGAAGATTAGAGAGTTTATTTAGAATAAGAAATACTTTATCTAATTCTTTTAATCTTTTTTAAATGGAAAGAAGCAGCCATAGCTGATATTGGCAGACAATACTCAAGTAGAGACTGAATATTGGCAAAATAAATGGATTGTAAGACTGTCTTTGAGGAAATAATTTTGCAGAAATGCCAAAGAATTCCATGCAGAATAGTTCAACATGTTCTTTGAAATGAAGTTTAGGATCTAAAATGACCCAAAGTTTATTATAAGAATATTATATATCAAAAATTAATTATTTAAAACGATGGAGTCAGATTATTTTATGAAATTCTTATTGTATTGTAGAAAAATACACAAAAAATCAATGTTTCTTTACAATTAGTTTATATAAAAACATATATTGCATTGATTTGAAAAAGTTTACTCATTAAGATGTGAACCAGTGATTTCACAACCATGAGTAAGGCATACTAATGCTAAAACATGAAGTCTTCTATGAAGGGTTCTGCAAAACTTATTTATAAATCACTTAGGATTTTTTTAATTTTGATTTTTTTAAATGCTTGACAAGTTTGCTTTCTTCTTTTGGCTAAATATAGTCCATTCAAAGATTTATCTACAGAAATGGCATTATTGAAATCTTGAGAACCATGTTGTGATCTTCCCTTGTTAGAAGCAAATATGTAATTGTTTTAATTAAAAAATTGCATTGACAATCAGTGATATATAAAAATTGCTTAAGTAGTTAGTAAATAAAAGAAAATCAACGGAATTGAATCAGAACAGTGATAACCATGAAATGTGATAACCATGGGTTACTTGATACTTGATGTATGTATATAGAGTATCAAGTAACTGGATTGCTTAGTCTTGATAAATAGCTTTTATGTTGGATTTTATAAAATAATTTGCCTTTGGCTTTTTTCCTTTAGTTTTTTTACATTAGGTAGTTTAGATAATATATTTTGTTTTTAATGTAATACTTTTTTTTTTTATTTGTGTGTGTGGGGAGAGGAAAGAAATTGTTATTTTTAATGAATATCCCTAAAAAATTTAAGAAAATTTTTTAGTTTTAGTAATTTTTGGCAATTGTATATTATTAATTTTGATTTTGTTATAAATTAATCTAATTTATTTTTTATAACTATGATTTATTTACTGTAAATTAAAAATTTGAATTTTCAATTAAATTTTAACATATTGATTGCTTTTAGTAGCAAAAATGTAAATAATTTAGCAGTTTATTCTATTCAATAGAAAAACTTTATTTATTATTTGTTTCATTAATTTTTTTAAATATATTATAATAAATAAATAAATATATTAAAAATAATATATATATATATATTAGTAGTATATATATTTTAAAGAAAATTATTTTCATTTTCAGGGAAAGAGGAGACATACAAGTTTCAACTCAGGACGTATGTAATAGTGTGAAATCTGTTTATCTACCTGATTATCTTAAGTGTTATTTATTATATTGTGATTTTAAATTTTTTGTCATATAGCAATTCACTTCCTGTTTAAAAACTTTCAATGTTTATAATGCTATCATTTTAAACATTCCATTTGGAAAATTTTTATATATACATATATATATATATTTATATATAAATACATATATATAATATATATGTTGAAATGTCAAATAATAATTATTTCCCAATAAATGGAAAATTCTAGTGTGCACAATTTAAATATATAAATATATATTTTGTGTGTTTGTGTGTGTACACACTTGATTATTAAAGTGGTTCAAAATGAAATTCATTAGCATGTATGTGTATATATATGTATTAGAAGAATATAAATATATACACAAATTTGTATGTACACATACAAAAACATAACATTAATTTAATAATAAATTGGATTCATTCTGATTAATTTGAAAATTGAATTAATAAATGTAAATTTTGATAACCCTTTGTTACACTGAAAGTTTAATAATTGATGTAAATAATTGTTTTAAATAAAGAAATATTTATTTCTGAATTACTTCTCCCCTTCATAATTTTTTGTTCTAAAAAATAATAGTTAGGGTAGAACATGTAAAAATAGTTTTCATATTATATCAGTTTAATTATTACAAAATTTTTATCTAGTTTTAATGTACTGAATTTATACAAGTTATAATTAAGAAGATAATATAGAATTTAATAATCCTGGAATAAGTTAAGCCTAAATTAGTTTTAAATGAAATCTTACCTTCATTTATATTTGGAAGAAACACATTCTGTTTGATAATAGATCATTTTGACCTTTACTGATAATGTATTGGAGTTGTTTAGACTTAATATTTTCATTTTGCATTTTAATAATAATAAAAAGCTGTTTTATAAAACTAAAAACATTTGACATTGTTATATTAATCTAAATCTATGGAATTCAAAATGATTTAAAAAAGAAAATGCTAGAAACCTTACTAAGCTAATATATATTTACTTAAAAATCTGTTTTAATCCATTTGTGATAATTTTTTTAATGTAATATCTAATATGATTTTTTCTTTATTATAATAATTTCAATATTAATGTTTTGTAATAGTTAACATCAATTGATAATTTATTATTATTTAAATATTTTAATATTCAGTATATTTGTAAAATAAAAGATTCAGTTTATATTTAATTCTAAGTAATGAATGTATTCTTTATTAAATGAAAAACTAATGGACATAATAAAATTTTAGGTCTACTATTTACAAATTTTATTATTTAAAGCATGTTGTTATTGAATTTACTAAAATGTAAAATTTATCTAAATTCAATTATAAATTTATTATGTTTGATTTTAATATTATTATTTAACTTATTTGATGATGAACAAATATTCTTTCAATGAAATCTATATCATGATATTCTAAAATATTAGGCCTAAGTAAAAGTATAGTCAGAAAAAATAAACTGTTTAGACAAATAAATAAGTTCATTATTATTTATTAAATTTTTTAATGATTTTAAATTATTGCGTTTAGTAAATCTGACAGCCCTGATCACAAATTTTATTTATTTCCCTCCAAAAAATCTTCTATAAAGTCCAGGATCCATTTAATAAAATAACAAAAATGTTTTATTGGGCTAAAAAATGTACTTACAAAAACAATGTAAACATTTTTGGAGTTATTGTCTGTTTGCAAAAATAAAAAGAATAAAACTAAAATACAAAATATAAAATTTTTGTATTTTGTTTTATTTATACAAGTGCAAAAGTTCTTTGATTCTTGTTGTAGGTATATTTTGGCTGATTGAGCATTTTTGTGAAATGATAACTACATATTTATTTATTCAAAATTAATTTGGAATAGTTCTCCAGTAAGACAATAATAATTTCAAATTATTGAATGTTAAAATATTTCTATTTGTTGTTTGTAATTTTGATTTTATTCCTGGTTGCACACACAAATTTTATAACATCAAACAATGTTATCAAATTAAGATTATTATTATTATTTTTTTTTTTTTGTTTTATAATGAATTTGTCACTCATTTAAAATCTTAGTTTGTCTTTACTTCATATACATTAGCTTGGGTTATGTTACTTTAAATAATTTTTGCAAAACTTCTGTGTAATGGATTGTATTCATCAGAATATTACATATATATTAAAAATATTTTACATATTTAATAAAATTCATTGTAATACAAGAATATTATTTTACTAACATTAAATACATATTGTATACAGAGCAATGAGACCTGAAATAAAAGAAAATATGAATAAAGTAAATTTTTTTACTTGTCTTTTCAAAATAAATAATTAACTTAAGATGTTCAAACAAATCTTAGAAGAACTGAATACTCATGCTGTAATGTATTAACTTCTATTATGTCAGTCTTCTGAATTCATAAACACTTTAAATTAGCATATTTTTTATCTCTTTTTCATCTTTGAAAATAGGAAGAAAAAACTAATGAAACCTACTCTATGAAATAAAACCTTACATTTAAGGATGACATAATTGAGGCAACAATTGGCATCAGCAACTGACTATATTTATCTTCAGCAGTTATTTGTTGAACTGATTTCATGAGATATATTTGATGCTAACCAGTCATCATTGTTTTAATAAACATTATATATTCTCATAAATAATGTATATATCAAGCTATAACAAAGTAAAATAATATTAAATTTATACTAAACTTTAAAATTGATTATTTTCTTATTTTATTTAGTATCTTGTTTTTCTTCAGTTTGTTCTATGCTCTTTCTATAAAAGGTTGTTACATATTTACAGGAAATCCTCTAATTCAAACTCAGATAATTCAAAATACCATTAGTTCATAACTATACTTTTGTCTTGGCTGGGGATATAGAGATTTACATGTTAAGTATAAGTAATTCAGTTAGTTAGAAATATGGCTACTTTTGTAATTTGAAGTGAAAATTCTGTCCAAACTGTGATATGCATATGTTAACTTTTTCATTTATATTGAAGTGTCTTCATACTATAAGGGAACAGTAGAATGAGAACAATTCTAATCTGGTTAATATGACTTTGCTTTTACAGTAACACATTTTTAGGTGTCACCTTACATATGGACTACCCGTTTTTTCTCTTATTTCATAAAATACAGTCGGGTTTTTGGATTGCAAGATTGGGCTACAAGTAGCAGACTGAGATTTTTAAAGGACTCTAGGCTACTACTTTTGGGCAACTTTAAAAATAATTCGGGCTACATTTCAAGGAATTTTGCATTACTTTTTATAAAACCTATCTGGCAACCTGTGAGGTTCTCACTTGACACATGCTGTTTACCTGCAGTTTATTTATATTATTAATTAATGAAAAAATCATTCTGTATACATAGCCATATTCTGTTTGCTTAATAATTTATTAATAGAATGTTTAAATGGCATTTAGCATATTGTGCAGAAATATGGGAATCTGGGATAATTTCAAACTTGGTGATTTGAAGTTGCAATTATTTCATTAAGTTAAAATCTCACTTGACACATGCTGTTTACCTGCAGTTTATTTATATTATTAATTAATGAAAAAATCATTCTGTATACGTAGCCATATTCTGTTTGCTTAATAATTTATTAATAGAATGTTTAAATGGCATTTAGCATATTGTGCAGAAATATGGTAATCTGGGATAATTTCAAACTTGGTGATTTGAAGTTGCAATTATTTCATTAAGTTAAAATCATTTTGAAATAACGAGGATTTCCTGTAGTAGGGTAAAAAATAAACTGTATTTTTGATGTATGCATGTTTGAACATCATCTCATATGTTAGCATGTATCTGACACATCATAGATGCTTGTTTGAATTAGAACACAAAACATCCAAAGTACTGGAATATGTATGTAAGTCTATGTTGTTAGAATCTGAAATGATGCATCGAAAGCAAGTGAATCAGATTTGCATCAAACTTGATTAAATGCTTCAGAAAAGTTATTTTTATCTACTTAAACAATTATGATAATTATACCATGTTTTATACCACAATCATATGAATAGTGAAAATAGTCTCATCTCTGGCAAGCAAAACACTGGTTTGTCCATAATGACAATATCTGGTGCATCATGTCTCCTAGTTTGTGAATATTAGGTGAAATGATAAATACTTTCACATAGATAAGTACTTTCACAACTTCCTTATTTATCTGACCATGCTCCTGCAGACTTTCCTGTCCTAACAAAAATGAGAGCTTTATTAGAGAGTTTCAGATTCAAATCAGCAGGAGGGGAAAAGTTCCATATACTGTACCTTAGCTTGGAGGAGTTGACTGTTTCCCATGAGGTAATGTAGAATGTGTTGCAACACTGTTTTAATAAGTGTTATGAACATAGTAGGAGTATGTAGTTGCAGAAAATGATTATTTTAAAATATTCTTTTGTAATACTTGTACTATTAACATATTAATAAGCTTGATGTGTTTTTGACTCTCACACATTATTGGTAAATATATACAGTGGTACCTCAGGATACGAAATTAATCCGTTCCGAAACTGAGATCGTATCATGAAAATGTCGTAAGGTGAATCATCTTTTCCCATACGATTACATGTAAAACCAAATAATTCGTTCCAACACGAAAAACATACTCAAATTAAAGCCAAGTAATACATTAAAAAAAATAACTGTAGTAAGAAAAACAAATGAAAAATGCGAACTAATGTAACGTCGTATGGTGAGTTTTTGTTCGTATCGTGGAGCAAAAATATGTTCGAATTTCATGTCGTATCCTGAAAATTTCGTATGCTGGGGCGTTCGTAACCTGAGGTACCACTGTATCAATATATGTTACATAATGTATATGAATTATTCTAATGTAAAGATTTTTTGTTTTATATAAATAAATTTTAAGTAAAAATGTTTATACTTTAAAGTTTTACTTTGAGTGAAAATGAAAATAGCATTAAAAAAATAAAGTTAAAATTTACAGAAAAGCTTTAATAATAAAT